GGAAAAAACTCCACCCGCGCATTTTAACCCTTCGGGGCGGGCGCGCAAAAAGGAGGTGTGACATGGGTAATATTTATCCATAACCGGGTACCGAAGTGATCAGGAAGCTTATTTCCAATAGAGTACTAAATAGATAAACATATTTACGGTGGAGTCCCATATGGATAAGTTTCTTCAGAAAGCTTATTTACAACGGAGTACTAAATGAACATCAATAATATAATATATTTATAACAATTCCGAGAGTTATGAGATAAAAACGAGGATAGATTGTGGTTAAAAGAGCAGGATTGGGTCGGGTCCACTTAGATTATAATGGGTCAGGTTAAAAAGTAATTTAAAATATTAATTAAAAAGTCAAATAGTCAAATCTTATTAATTGATAATATAATTAACTCTAATGTATCCCTAAATTATTTTTTGTTGGGTAGGGAACGAAAAAGGGGCATTTTTGGCCCAAGGTATTAACAGGAGGGGTAGGCCAGGGTCAAAGTTTTAACGGAGGGCAAATCCCCTTAATGTCGTGTAGTAGAGGGGCATTTTTGGTCCTTTTCCATATAACTAATGCATAATCTATATGTATGGCTAAAAAATAAATAGTGAATTTGACCGACTATTTGTGTAAATCTTCTTTCAATGTGTTCTCACTTTGAGCCCAAGGCATTTCTTGGGCCCAAGACTTTTATCTCCTCCTTCCCAAGTTAGTGGGCTTATATCCATTCAGAATACGGAGTAAAAAGTAAAGCAACAGTCCAAATTCCAAAAAAATAGACCTTTGCTTGCAACTATGGCTTGCTAATCAAGTTTAAAGAAGAAGAAAAAAGTAATCTTCAGTTCAAACAGAACTCGGCTTAACTGGGCAAAGCTATTACAGTACTTCTCTGCATAGAGATTCTGAATCTGTGACAGATATCAACAGAGAGATGTTTCTCACTAGGTAAAATTTGCATTTTGTTTGGGGCTTAATTCTTGATCTTGTTTTTTCAACTAAATCGGAATGAATGATTTTGTGTTTTCTTGTGTTTTGGGAATTGGGTGTGAAGAACTGAGTACGATAGAGGTGTTAACACCTTCTCTCCTGAAGGCCGGTTGTTTCAAGTTGAATATGCTATTGAAGCCATCAAGGTAAGATATTTTCTGAGTGTAAACTTTTTTTGTGTGGCTGAAATAGCTGATGGATATTGTTGTTATTTTATTCTAATTTCTGAAGCTGGGTTCAACTGCAATTGGATTAAAGACTAAGGAAGGAGTCGTTCTTGCTGTGGAGAAGCGTATTACTTCACCCCTTCTGGTTTGTAACCCTTGTTTTCTCTATTATTTTTTAATTGTTATTATTATTTGAGGTCGGTTATATGTTAGTACTTCTATATTGTTTTGATGATTAGGTTCATGTTTTTGTGCATTGGACTTCACAAGTCGTCGTGGTATCGAGAACTGATTTTTACTTCTTCCTGGACTGTAATTGAGTGAAAGTTAAATTTTTTAGCAATAGTTCACCAATTAGAAGTGCTGGTAGAGCTTCACCTAGTAAAGTGAATTATGGATTTGTGGAATATAGGATTGGGTATCTTCCTGATGATGAATGATAATCTTTTTGTTTATTGCTTGCTTGACTATGATTCAAATTCCTGCGCTCAAAAATAGGTAACATGCTAGTCGCCTGATATTTTATTCTGTGTATTCCTCGTTCATGGAACAGTTTTGATATTCTTATAGGAGCCAAGCAGTGTGGAGAAAATTATGGAAATTGATGAGCATGTTGGTTGTGCAATGAGTGGATTGATAGCTGATGCACGGACTCTTGTGGAACATGCACGAGTTGAAACTCAGGTATTTAGGTCATCTTTCTTGACCTTCAAGTATTTGTATGCTAGTGGTAAATTGCTGACTTGGCCTTGTTGTTTTTCCCTCCCTTCCCCTTTCAATAGAACCATAGATTCTCTTATGGTGAGCCCATGACTGTTGAGTCCACTACACAAGCTCTCTGTGATTTGGCCTTGCGGTTCGGTGAGGGCGATGAAGAATCTATGGTGAGATTCTTTTTACTTTGGTGTAGTACTTTTTTTAAGTTAAGAATTCGTGGTGCCTAATTTTTTAGAAAGCATAGTTCAATTCCCAATATTATCTTTTGTGTTCCCTATTTATTTTGATTAAAATGTGTTGGAGCTAAATGGCTGACCTTATATGAATTGGAATTTAGATTTTTAAGCTATTTATAGTCATTTGATCGAGTGAATAAGCAGGTGCTTTTGTGTTTTGACTGTGATGTTTCTTTTATGTAATTTAAGAAAACCATCAAGTACTTCATGTGACACAAGGTGAAAATAAATAAATAATCAGTCATAATCTTGTTCTCTCCTCTTTGTGTCTTACCAAAGGACTTGTGCATGTACCACAAGTGCTTTTGGACATTGCCTGTGCTGATTTTAGAATGAAAAAAAAAAGAGGTTGGTGATCATTGTGAAGATTGTTAGGTAGCGCTCATCTCTCTATTTGTCTGTATCTCAATTTACAAATTTATTTCAAATGCTCCTGCACTATATAAAAATATGCCAGCTGGGTAGTGATAGATCTCGAGGCTTGTTGTGGGTTATGAGATCTTCCATGGTGCTAGGATTGTTATGATAATTCATTAACTATATAAGTGCATGCACTCTTCTCTTTACATTCTATATCCTAAGGAAAAAGGATGCAAGATACTAATAAACTTTGCCTGTAAAGAATTCATGAAGTTAAAATGGTGTAAAATAGCTGTTTAATTTGGTTCTACATAGTGTAGGCTGGACGAAGATAAGCTCACTCTAAGACGAACTTTTTGTTACAGGGAGGTAAGAGCGGCTGGCATTGATTTATTTTTGGAACTTAGCCCGTTTGTTATCATGGAAAAAGAAGGGAAAGGGGTGAAAAGCGGCAAAAGGGTTGTTTATGATGTAATTATTTTGTTAACTGATTATCTTATTTATGGATAAGTTATAATGGTTGAGTATGAATTAATCTGATTGAAGTTACCTGGTTAATTCTAATTTTATTCTGCTGCGTGCATTTTCTCTAATGACTTTATCTAGTTTCTTCGTTCCCTTTTTATTTCATAATACATTCTGAAAAATTGGATGTCTGGTGAATCTTAGTGCTGTTGAAAAAGCTTATCGGCAGAAATAGACAGTCTTCCATAGGTTTTATAAATGACTTACACATCAGCAGGAATAGACAAGCTTCTGTTATTGTTATCTTTTGAGTACTCTAAATTCAGATTTCCCACCTTTATGTGTTAACGGTCTATCTCGTTTGTTTTATGCAGTCCAGACCTTTTGGTGTATCCCTTCTCATTGCTGGTCATGATGAGAATGGTCCTAGCTTGTAAGTCTTTGCCTCTCTTGGATAGTATGGGAAACTATGATATTTTGTTTACTATATTTCTTCTCTCTTTTGGTATTGAATTGAAATCTGATAGAGTTGCCAGGATATCATCTTTCAGAAACTTCCTTCTTTTCCCAAATTTGCTTTTGAATATGTCTGCTTTGACTTTGTCTAAGTTGGACTGGATTTCGAGAAACAATACAATATTTAAACCAGCAGTTCTATCACATCTCAGATGCATTAATGCTTAATCTCGTGGACTTACAAGTTACAATGTCCATGAAGTTAATAAAATTCACTTAATTTGCTATGACAATTAAGCCTCATGCTTATTACTTAATAGGCAAAATTGCATTTTTGGTGCCTCATTTTTAGGGGTCCTACGTTCTGTCTTACTTTTTTTTTAGTTGTGCATGTAATACCTTAACTTTAACATTTACGAGCAAATATGAGACCTCGTCATGACAATGTCAACTTTTGGATGGGAAAAGTCATATGCCTGCACCTATAATGGCTCAAAACTCCTTCTCCCTTATTTGCTCGTGTTCTCTAAAATCTCATCAAGTCACTATAGCATGCATACAAATCATCTTAATATAGTATGAACATCACTTGTTTAATTATAGAAACATTTTCAATAGATATTGAGGGTTTTTAATGTAAAATGAATTCTATCTCAATTAGTTGAAAAGTTCTTGAATTTTAATTGAATATTAAGTACTCAAGAAGTCAACAAATCACATTCTTGGAAATGATGTTACCAACTAGCCATGATAAATTGGGCTTTTGTGGTATGAACTGCTAAAATCCGACATCTGACTATATTTTTTTTCCTAAGAGAATGGGATTCAGAATTTCATAAACATACTATTAACAGTACATAGTTTATCCAAGTACTCGGCTGCCATTACTTCCTAAACCCTGATTGTGGGTACCAATGGACATAATTTCTAGATACTGAATATAGACCAATTTTATGTGCAGGTACTACACTGATCCTTCTGGTACGTTCTGGCAATGCAATGCTAAAGCTATTGGGTCAGGTTCTGAAGGTGCTGACAGTTCTTTGCAGGAGCAATATAACAAGGTACCTAAATTTCCTATTTTTCTAGTGAAATCATGCCCTATCGTCATAATTTTGGTCCAGTCTGCAGCAGCTTGAGGTTGAATAGAACGCTACTAATGGAACATTTAGGAGTTAGCAATGGAACGTGTAGGAATAACTGGTCCTATTCTTTTTTTCATTCATCCTCGTTTAAATTGATTGGATGCTTGAGCGCTTAGAGACTTTCATGAGTTCCTCATACATGAAGTATCTTCCGTGGAAGCCCGAGAAGTAGAGGGTTTTTGTGATTTTCTTTATTTCCCCCCTAAATATCTCAGGTTCAAACTGGATGACCTTATTAGGTCGAGTAGCTAGTTGGGATGGTGATGGGCTCGCCCACTTGTACGCTTCCAAACAAGCACACTATCCTTCCGTGTCTGAAAATAGATGTGTAGAACTGAACATTCAAGAAATCTCATTTCCCATCTTAATAATTTTGGTCCAGTATGCAGCAGCGTGAGGTTGTTTGATGCTATCAACCACCTTCAACTCCTAAGCCACACTCTCTTCTCTTCCTCTGATAGAGAAATGTATAAAATCATTAACCTTCTACTCAAAAATCCTAATTGTAGGTGGCAGGTGGCTACTCCTGGAACAGAAACGCTAGTGTTTAGCTTTCATATGCTTCTCAAATCTGATCTAAAGTCCATTATCTGCTTTTTCTGCAGGACCTTACCCTTAAAGAGGCTGAAACCATAGCCCTGTGTATTCTTAAGCAAGTGATGGAAGAGAAGGTAAGCTTCGTGATTTTCTTATTTTCATGATTTTATTCTTGGTTTCTGTATTTGCTGAAAAGCTCCAACTGTTTGATGCAGGTGACTCCCAATAATGTTGATATTGCAAGGATATCTCCAACTTACCATCTGTACTCACCATCTGAGGTGGAAGAGGTTATCAGCCGCCTATAAGAAAGAATGCTATAATGCTCACCTGGAGTTCTTTTATTGTATTTTCCCTTCTTCCAGGGCTGGAGATTGATTGAGACAGTGTTTTCTGTATGTTCATTACATTATTTGCTCAAGGATTTAAGAGTTTTTTGGTCCATCCCTTGTTGCTTATGAAGTGGGATTGGTTTTTACATCCTGAAGAACATAAACGATCTTTTCTGATGATCGTTTATAGAAATGCATATTTGGGTTTCCATTTCTGTTTTTAATATGCTTCCTCTTTGGTCTCTTTTTGCTTTCATATCCCTTTGTTTTTGTGGTTGGTTTTGCTGCCCCTCGTCAGGAAAGTGAGAGGAAGTTTCTTATTGTAACATAAATGTATATGGTAAACCTTTCTCCTAACATGCCTTGATTGCCAAAAGGAAAGGCGATAAAACTCTTCACATCGGGTGTTTATACTAAATCAACAAAATATGTAAACATGTGTTTGTATATACATATTGTTGGCTTTTCATGGTTAATTAGTATATATATTCATATTATATGAAATTACTTAACCATGATAGGTTAATTTAATTTGGGGTAAACATTTGGTACGGATAAGTTATTACCGGAAACAGTCTACAATTCTCCTAGTTTTCATTTAGTTCCTTCAATCAAATGCAATCCTAACATCTAGTATTTTGGCTAGTAATGCTCAAGAATACATTTCTAGCTCTGCAAGTTATAGGTAGAGTAAATCAAGGGGTACTCCATCAAATTAATTCTAGCATGGGCGAGTAATTGCAAGTCCTAGGACACATACTTTTGACTTTCGTGCAATGAGGGCGTGAGACCCATTTATGCTTTTGCTATAGTTAAAACAAAAAATCTGTGTGTTTTCTTCCGATGAATGATGAGAGGAGAGCTACTACTAACTCTACTATGTAATAAGTAATGAATAATTATTCAGATTTTGAGTAGAAAATCCTCTTTCGCTATCAAAATATATATCCAATATTTGCTACGAGTGAAATAATAGAAGATCATTGAGTATGTAATAAGAAGTTCAAGAGAGAAAAGAAGATGCAAACCAGAGTGAAAAGCCAGATATATCTGAAAAACACAGGTATTATATCCAGTATTTTAGGCCTACAACATTTTAATAAAAGGTCAGCTGCATCGAGAAGCACAAGTTAAGCGAGTTTACTACGTAAAACAGTGCACATAGGAAAAGTTCCTGTGTCATATACTCACCGTCCAATAATTACTTTATGGTTTTAACCCTTTCTTCATCAATAAATTCCCTCTGTCTTACTTAGAGATTTTAGAGATTTCAGATTCAAGCTTTGAAAATGGAGAAATTCTAGATAAGGAATATTTTTTTAATGGACCCCATACGACCCGAATATGAATTAGTCGGATCAATAAGACTTAAATATCAGATAGCTAAGCGAAAGAGATTTCACCAATAAAAAACTTAACGACCCACGTCACTAGAAAAATTAAAGAAAAATGTTTTTGAAATTAAGGGGAGGAAATAAAAGAAAAGGAGGGGTAGGTGGGAGGGAGTTGAAAATCATTGGGTATGTAAATCTGAAGTCTTACATTTCGGATCTAATTGCATGAATGTTCCACGGAATGTTAACATTACCACGAGGCAAGAATTGTGAACTGTGTATTCTTTCCCATAATATAATCTCCACTAGAAGTCTATTCTTCCCTATTCCCTAAAACTAATACTATCCCACAAAAGGATTAATACTCCAAACTCCAACAATATAATCCCCTCTTTGATTCTCTCGTTTCATCACCATTTCCAAACGCAGTAGAGAAAAACAAACCATTACTACTACTACTACTACAACTTCACTTCAAAATCTTTATGGGTAATCTCAAGAATCTTTTGATCACCCTTCTCCTCCTTTCCTTCTTTCTCCTCTCTTCCTCTTCTTCTTCTTCTTCTTCTTCTTCTTCAAACGAATTCCAACCCAGGAATCTTGGGTCATCACTATCAGATAATAATAAAGCTCCATCTCCATATGATCAGTATGATCATATCAAGAATTCAGAACCATTTAACTTCTTGAAAAAACAAGCAGGAGAAGGAGAAGGGCTACAGTTAAGTACTAAGGATAAACGGAAGAAAAAGAAGAAGGCGAGACTAAACATGAAGAGGAAAAGAGACAATAAAAATTCAGAATATTATTCCAGCAGAAGCTTTTCAGCTATGCTTCCTAAAGGTTTTGTGCCTCCTTCTGGAAATTCCCCTTGTCATAATACCTATCCCAATTCCGTCACCTTTTTCTGTGATCTTTCCACTCCTAAAGTACCCTAAACATCTCTCTTTAGGGTTTATATAAATATATATATATATATATACACGTACTCTGCATTTTAATGCTTTCTTGAAGAAGAATATATAGAGGAAAAGTCACTTGAAAATGATGAGTTTCTTGATCATCACAGTGAAAGATTTGAAGATGATTTTTATCCCATTATTACTTAAGCCGAGTTTCTTAAACGTCGACATGTCCATATATTTACAGGTTAATTTTCTTGCTACTGTATCTTCTTGAGAATATACTGTGTAAACGGCAAAATCTTGTAAAAATAGAGGGAGAGTTACGTTTTGCAATGGTGGATCAATTATTCTGAGAGTTAGCTAGCTGTTTACTGAGTAGTACTAGTACTATATTTTCATTTCATTAACATTACGGAAACTTGTTGAGTACAGTATAGTACACTAGCATATTTTTCCATTTCTGTTGAGATTGAAAAATTACATTGAAATTAGGTATACCCATGTCTTCTAATTATGCGATTATTACGAGAATAAAGTAGGCATGTATTTTTCTTTTTGTATTATTTCTGAGAATACGTATTCTCTCATCATGTTGAACAGTTGATGTCTATTATTGATTGGTTGATCAAGTATAGCACGTACTGTAGAACGCAAAATGTCTAATTTTGTAAAACAAGCAGCATATTTCTGCAATTGTTAAGTAAAAGTATTTTTTTTTTTTGACGATTTTACTGAATTTAGTTGAGAAATATTTTATTCATCGTAATACACGGAAATAAAATTAAGAACTAACTTGCAGATAAATACTTGGACCTTTTTATATTGGGTCTAATTAGGAGTCAACTATGAACATGACTAAATCCCTAGTTTTTATTGTTTTTCCACTAATTAATCACCTATAAAATTTCAACTTATTTACTATTCTTACATGTGAGTGTGCTATCATATTAAGAAAGATGTTTGCTGTTTTGACTTCTAAGTATGTTTCGTACGTGTAGGTATTTCTTGTTTGACTAGAGAGTCGAATAGTAACTAAAACATAAAATTTAGTTAAATATATAGCAGTGAAATAGGAAGAAAAGCATATGGAAATTCCATCAATTGAGGGACTTTGCTTGCTTCATGGCTCATGGGGGGTTAAAATTTGTTACTTTCCGTTTACTCCATGCATGCATGATAGTCTAACTCTGCTCTCGATGTTACAGAATCCTATACCATAGAGTTTGTACTTATAAATACCAAAATTCTACCTTATAAATATAGTTTAACGCATATGCCGTCAATAATTGTACTTTACATAATATGCCAAAAAGCTAAAAAATAACACAATTATTAGTGGTGAAGTTAGAATTTCGCAAATAGTGTTCAGCGTTTAAAATATAATATTGATCTATATATATGCACAGTAACCGACGAAGGTTGCTCAACTAATAGCTTCGTCCCCGATGGTCAAAAATTTCCTTGAAGAACTTACTTATCAACAATGTTTAAAATTAGCAGGACATATAATTGTGTCAATTGGATATATATCAGCGATTAGATATCTATGGAAAGTCTCTCTATAAAGTTGCATTGTCACTGAAAATTGTAACATAATAATTCAACTATAAAAAGTCACGACTAAAAATCCGGAAAAAAGCGACCAAAATTGGTCTGTCAAAAAAAGTGACCAAAGTTGGTCGCTAAATTGGAAAAAATAATTAAATAATTATTCTAAATATATTAGCGACCAAGGTTGGTCGCTTTTTGGTCGATAATGTGATCAAAATGTTGACCGGACTGGTCAGACTTGCTTGGTCAAAGAAATACTGAAATTAGCGACCAACTTTGGTCGCTAAAGTGAGACTCAGTTATCAAATTTTAATAATTATATTATTATTAAAAAAAATATAAAATATAAATAAATATAATTTAAAATTAGCGACCAAAGTTGGTCGCTTACCAAAGGGGAAGCAGATAGAGACCAACTTTGGTCGCTAATCTGGGACACAGTTATAAAATTTTAATAATTATATTATTATTTTAAAAAAATTATAAAATATAAATAAATATAATACAAAATTAGCGACCAAAGTTGGTCGCTTACCAAAGGGGAAGCAGATAGAGACCAACTTTGGTCGCTAATCTGGGACACAGTTATAAAATTTTAATAATTATATTATTATTTTAAAAAAATTATAAAATATAAATAAATATAATACAAAATTAGCGACCAAAGTTGGTCGCGTACGAAAGGGGAAGCAGATAGAGACCAACTTTGATCGCTAATCTGGGACTCAGTTCTAACATTTAACAATTATATTATTATTTTAAATATTATATAAAATATGATTTAAATCTGATTTAAATTTAGCGACCAACTTTGGTCGCTAATTTTAACTTCTGGATAATTAGCGATCAAAGTTGGTATCTTTTCAGGTCAACATTGGTCAAAATTAAAAATTACTTTTATATTTACTATCTAAATAATATAAATATAATCCGTTAACACTTTTGTAATACAAGGGATAAATACACTAAAATATATCTAACATGCTATATATGTAGTTAAAGTAGTACAACGAAGCGTGTTTTATATATATATATATAAATTGATTCATCGACTTATAACCTACTCAGATGCATCGTTGAATATTAAAAATAAAATTTCTCGATTTATATCAATTAATATGCTATAATTGATTCATCGACTTATAACCTACTCAGATGCATCGTTGAATATTAAAAATAAAATTTCTCGATTTATATCAATTAATATGCTATAATTGATTCATCGACTTATAACCTACTCAGATGCATCGTTGAATATTAAAAATAAAATTTCTCGATTTATATCAATTAATATGCTATAATTGATTCATCGACACAGGTGTGTATTTATTTTCTTGCGGAGTTTGTTAGGGAAATAGCTGCAAGTACATCCCCGTAAAAATTCCCAAGTGCATGTGTCGAAATTTTTAGACCGAAAATTTAAAATTGCCATGTTTTTTTTATATGTTTGTATTAAGTCAACACTTTCATATATATTTTTTGTATATTTTATTATACACCTTCCCCCACATACTGTGTTTACTACTTAGCTAGTCAGTAATTATTATTAGTAATTTTCCTAAATGGATATGTAGCCCACCCCTACATATTCACGGTTTTCTCAAGTCTTACATGTACGGTTGTTTCAATATGCTCAATTTATAAAGTGCAAATATTCACTACTCTTGATCGATGTAGGGGTGTGCATTCGATTTATCGATTCGATTTTGACCCTTATCGATAATTACTTATCGATTATCGATTTGTACATATGCATATCGTTATCGTTTCAATAAGGTTTCGATTTTTTCGATTTCGATTTATCGATTTTTGGGGCTTATCGATTCGGTTATCGATTACACCAATAAGAAAATTTACGGGATTCCACGGAAAGTATATCGCTGCAAACACACCTAACTAATATGGACAAAAGGAAGCTAAAATAAGAAGAGCACCGTTTATAACATAAAAATTGTGTCAACAAGCACATGCAACGAAACTAAAGTAAGGGATCAAATGTATGTCACCAACACTCCAACGGTATAAACAAATAAAAAATCAAAATACATTATCACGGCTAATTCTGTTTTCCATTAATTTGAACTTCATTCCCTTGAGCTTTAAATATGATCATTCCTTAAATGTGGTAGAGGAAATAATAGGGTTAGAGACTTAGAGTAAAGGAAATGATATTATAGAATAAGGGTAAAAAAAATAAAAAAAATTAAAAAAAATTGAAAACAATTTACTGTAGCTTATCGGTTTATCGATAAACCGATAATCGAAGAGGACAAAATCGAAATCGAAATCGATAAATCGATAAGGAAAATTTTGAAATCGAAATCGAAATCGATAAACCGAAAAATCGAAATCGATAAATCGATAACAAATAATCGATTCGATTTATCGATAAACCGATTCGAATGCACACCCCTAGAGGTGGGAGAGGAATATCTCAACTGCAACTTCCCCATATAGTACTATTTACTTACTAATGCTTACCACCATTTTTTTTCTTATGCATTAATTAAGAATTTCATAAATCAAATGAAACAGTCTTTTCCTAGTAATAGCAAATTACATTTATATTACTTTTAAATTTAAGGTATCCTTAGTTAATTATTTTTCCAATTTTCATTTATATTTCTCTAATAACATATTAATTTCCTTTTTCTATAAAAATACATTAATTAACAAGAATTAAATACATTGTACATGATAATTAGTAAGAATTATTTCACTAATCCTAAGAAAATATACATGATTAAATTATTTTAATAATAGTAGGATTTAATCAAGATATGATGTTAAAAAGTAGAATTATAAGATCAATCAATATTAAGTTTCAATATTCAAACTATATCATTTTAAAAATGTATAATTGAATTTCAACTAATCAAATACATGTGAAAAAATGACAAGATAGAAAGTTAATAAAACTTATTTATATTTTTATAAATATAACATAATTTTTCTCTGCTTAGAAATTAAACTTAAATAGGTATCAATCATTTAATTATATTTAGTATATTTTCTAATGATATTAGTTGAAATATGTCAAATGCAGTCGTATCTTAGCTTAATTATGTCTGTTATATCAACCATATTGAATTTTTAATTCTTAAAATAATTTGCTTTGTGATAATTATCTTGTTATTGAATTTGCTGAAAAAAGTAATAACCAACTATATTATGCCTCATGACTTATAATGCCCAATCCAAACATATATACATCATTAAGTTTTATATAAGATCGAAAATTTTACATTTACCTACACATAAATCAATAAATTATAATAGATAAAATTAATTCCAATGGATATTTTTTACATATCAAGTTTTTGTAACTTTCAGAAAAATATGAATTTTAAATTAAAAAGTAACATCTTCTTAGAAATTCAAATAATATTTAAAAAGCATTTAAATAAATTTAAACTTAAATATGTAGTTATAAAGTCCTCATGTAAATTCTCAAGTATTATATATCAAATTAAAACAATAAT